AACAAATAGCTATCTATGTACACAAAGTTAAGCTAGTAGAAACATCACTTTTATCAAAAGTTTTTATTTACTAAAATGGATTGTTTCATACAGTATGGAAGTAAAAGTAAGGGAAGAAAAATTACATCTCATTCATGGTCTCAATTGAAGATTCTCCAAAAATGCATCATCAGTCTTCTGTATCTTATGACTATGGAGATCCCACGAATTACCTCTTGTCCCTCTATTCTTGGCACATAGTCTCTGCCCAGTCTCTCTTGGATGACTTTTTGAAACCATGCAAGCGAAGAATTAGAAAACTGGATGTTCTCTCATGCTGGACAACGTGAAGCATCCTTCAGCAATCCACCCAACGCTGAAGCTCCAGAAGCTGATGATGATCCACTTATCATTCCAGTTGCAGCTAATAACCAATACGAGTCTTCTTCAGAGATTGTTGCAGTGCCCATTAGTTGCATTCCTTCTTCTACTTCAAACACTGATCAATCAGTGAATGAAATGCCCTCACATCTGAACCTTTATCAGTCGCTGAATCTGAGGCTCCTTTAGCAATTATCCCTATTGCTGAAGAATTTGCAGCTGAAGCCTCATCTTCTGTTCCTGAACATCTATGCTCAGATAACAATCCTCTACCAGCTTAGCGATGGAGAAAAGACCATCTTATTCATCAAATTCTTGGTGATCCAGATGCAGGTATTCAGACTCATCGAGGTCTAAGTAATATATGTCTCTTTGTCAACTTCCTTTCTTTAGTTGAACCCAAGAAAATCAATGATGCTATCTCAGACCCTAGTTGGGTCATTGTCATGCAAGAGGAGCTCATTGAGTTTGATAGGAACAAAGTCTGGTTCCTTATTCCACATCCATCTAACAGAACTGTGATAGACACTAAATGGGTTTATCACAACAAGTTAGGTGAAGAAGGCATGGTAACCCGTAACAAGGCTCGTCTTATTGCTCAAGGTTATAGATAAAAAAAAGGAATCGATTATGACGAAACCTTCGCACCAGTGGATAGACTCGAAGATATTCGACTCTTCCTATCCTTTGCTCCCCATAGAGACTCCAAAAGTCTACCAAATGGATGTAAAGAGTGTTTTCCTAAATGGAAAACTCCAAGAGGAAGTTTATGTTGAACAACCTCCAGGTTTTCTTGACCTTAAGTATCCAAACCATGTCTATTGTTTTGATGAAGCTCTTTACAGGTTAAAACAGGCTCCCCGTGCCTTGTATGATACCCTCTCCTTGTTTCTCATCTCTGAGAAATTCGTCCGTAGAAAGATTGACCAGACCTTATTTCTTAGGAAAGTTAAAGGTCATATCATTCTACTCCAAATATATGTCGATGATATTATTTTTGGTTCCACTAATCCCTCTTTATATTCGGTTTGCTGAAGAAAGAATACCAGATGAGTATGATGGGAGAACTAACCTTCTTTTTAGGTCTCCAGATTAAGCAATCAGATAAAGGTATCTTTTTCAGTTAGAGTAAGTATGTCCGTGATATGCTGAAAAAGTTTGATCTCTCTAGCAGCTCATCTATGAAAACTCCTATGGCTCCTTCTCTTTCTCTCAACAAGGATACAAATGGAAAGCATGTAAACGTAACTGTTTATAGAGGAATGATAGGCTCTCAGCTGTATCTTACAGCTAGTCGACCAGATATCATGTATTCTACTTGTTTATGTGCACGATATTAGTCTGAACCTAAGGAATCCCATCTGATTGCTGTAAAACGCATTTTCAGATACCTGAAGGGAACTCCTAACATGGGTCTCTGGTATCCTAAGGGTTCAGGTTTTGACCTAATAGGTTACTCGGAGAGTGATTTTTGTAGGTTGCAAAATTGATAGGAAAAGCACCACTGGAGGCTGTCAACTTTTAGGTGGAAAGTTGGTGAGTTGGACAAGTAAGAAGCAAAACTCAGTGTCCACATCAACCGCTGAAGCTGAATATGTAGCTGCTGGTAGTTGCTCTGCCCAAATTCTTTGGATGAAAAACGAGCTGATGGACTACGATCTTCAGTTTTCAAAAGTTCCTATCTATTGTGATAGCACTAGTGCTATTGCAATTGCAAATAACCTTGTACTTCACTCCAAGACCAAATATATAGAGATCCGATTTCATTTTATCAGAGATCATGTTATGAATGGTGACATTGAACTTTACTTCGTTCCAATTGATTACCAGCTCGCTGACCTTTTCACCAAGCCTCTTGATGAGACAAGATTTAACATCTTGATCAACGAACTTGGAATGCTAAACGCTGAGGATTAATTCCCTTCAGCTATATGCATCAATTAGTAAGTGAAATGATTCAGTGCTCTCATTCTATCACTGAACTCTTGAGTAAATATATATCTTCTTTCTAAGGTATGTATACTCGCTCTTCTTCTTTAAAACTTAAAACTATCACTGAAGCCTTTCTTCTTCAGTGATCAAAACCTTTTAAAAGTTTGTTTCAATGATTCTTTCTGTCGCTGGACATTTTAAATAAATATATCTCTCTATTATAGTTATTTTTTCTTAAAATCAAAATGATCACTGAAACTCTCTTCTTTCAGTGATTCAAAAGTTTTTAAAAGAAAGTTTCAGTGTTTCTCTTATCACTGACTCTTTTATGGAAATATATCCCTATAAGATATTTTCATTTCTTAAAACAAAACCATCACTGAAGCTTTTCTTCTTCAGTGATCAAATGTTTTAAAAGTTCCTTTTATTCAGTGATTCTCTTATCACTGAATGTGACTATTGAATTTTCTTAAAACCTTTTCGTTTTAAAAGAAATAGATAATGAACCGTATTTATGACGACATTCTCTGTTATCAATACGATTTTGTTTTGAGACGCACGTAAAGTTCTGACACACGCAACTCCTCAACATACCATCCAATCGTGGATGAGAACGTGCTACTTTTTCATCATTGCACATCCTCAACAGTCGTATTTTCCTCTCTCCTCCAAACTATATATATGAGACTTCACCTCTCATCTTTCTTTACGCTTTTGAAATCTTTGACGAACCTCTATCAAAACAAATTTGCAAGCAAGAATCAAGAACTAAGAACTAAGAATGCTCGAAACCCTTCGATCTTTTCTCCTAAATCTCTAAGGTCGATACTCTTTCTTTTATATTTTGATCTGTTCTTTTTCTTCTTCTTCTATGAAACTGTTGTTTGTTTATTTAAGAACTTGTTCTCTTAAAATACACACATTAAGATTATTAACACCTTCTCTTACTTGGTTATAATCTAAAGTTTCAAAACACCTGTTCTTCTTGAAAACCCTAATATTTTCTTTATGGATTTTTCAAAAGAAGTTTTATTGTTCTAAAACTTAAAAGCTCACATCCTAATCTTGGACTACTAACAAAACTGTTATTTCTTATTTCCTACCAATAACTATAAATGGTTGCCCTAAACGTGAACTTCTCCATCGAAGATGTGTCCTTCAAGGCAAACAATCATGTGGCCTTTGTTGGATATCCCTACGAACAAATCCTACTATGAGGAAGCCACTACCTTCCTCAAGAATTCTCCTCTCTCCTACGCTCTCATCCATGAACCTGTCATGGTTAAGGAAGCCCTTCAGCAATTCTGGCTGACTGCTGAATGCGTTCAAGACACGGACGGGCACGGTCAACAGGTGGAGAAAATCTCCTTCACCTTCAACCGCATGACCGTCATCTTTGGCTTTACAATGCTAAGGCACGCTCATCGTTTTCCCAAGGGTCCCTTTGTCAGTGATCCTTCAACTGAAATCATCATCGCCTACCTCGATGATATTGGCTATGCATGGCCAACGAAGAAAGACTTCAGCGAACCCCTCAATCTGCTTTTTGAAGATCGAGAAGAACCGCATGTCTGCGGTGTGGCAATACTTGTTCTCCCACTTCATTCAGTGCATGGGAGGCAAGACTCGAGGAAAAGATCAAGCCTCCAGGGTCGCGCTCACATCGACGTTTCTGTTATACGCCAGCGCCCAATCAACTACATGGCTGTGATCTTTGAGGACCTGGCGCTGAAGCTGAACATGCGCCAGAGGGAGAAGGTAGTACCATACACCAGGTTTTTCTCAATGATGTTCGCCAAGATCTTCGGTGACAAGTACTCTAAGGAAGGTAACCTTCCTATCTGCAAGCTTAGATCCAGGACTCTGGATCACAAGCTGAGAAATGAAGACATTGCACTTTCTGCTGTTGGGTAAACTGTTTCTTCATTTTCTCCATCTGCGACTGTACCCCTTCTTCTTCTTCTCAAGTGGTCAAGACTAAGGAAAACACCCCGAAGTCTATCCCAACCACCACCACCCTCTCTTCCAAACATCCTTCCTCCTCTCAACCCACTCTTGGTTCTCCATCAAGGGCCAAGAAGGCCAAAAAGGGGATACCCACGTCTTTGGCTGTGACCTCTCAAAAGGTCTCAGCTATTGAAACTCATATTACCCCCGAGGCACCTTCAGCTACCCTTCCCATCTCTTCAGTGATTTCTACAGTCACTGTCATACCTGTGGCTCCGATCCCAACCGCCGCAGTGACCCAAATCACTGATGGTGAGAATATCAGCATTGCCACTGCTGAACACTCACGTTCTTCAGTCTCAGCTATTTTCTTCTCTCAGCTATTTTCTGTCCTTTTCAAAATGGACGAAGTCCATAAGGGCATGCCTCTCAGGGATGAAGTCTCTGCTGACCTTTCAGCTGTCAAGGCTAAAGTTAGAGAGGTTAAGGAACAACTCTTTTCCGTGCAAGAAGTTATGCGCGCTAACGCTAAGGCCATTTTTGCTTTAAATAGCAAGGCCGATTAAGCAAATGCCCATCTCGCCAAGCACACGGCGCTGATGCAACAGATCCTGGAGATCCTCCAGCGACCAGTACCAACACCTGCCCCATCCTTCACCGTAGAAGATCCCCTCCAGCTAGATCAAACTCTAGAATGCACTCTTCTTCAAGCTTGAGCGCTGACAAAGCTTAAACAAATGGTGGAGATTCAGACATGAATTATGGACAACTTCTTTGAGTATCATGCTGATCTCAAAGAGAGGGAGAAAGAGTTGAAAGTTGTTGTTGCTGTTGAAACTGCTGTTATCCCAGTGACTCATACTGAAGTTGAAGATCCTAGAGCGACAGGTAATGAAGTTGAGGTTGCTGATGAAAATCTAACTTCCTGTGAAGCTCCTAAAGCTGAGGTCGTTGATGAAACAGTCAGAGCTATCACTGAAGCTCGTGATGAAGACCTTCCTATCACCTATGCAGCTGATGCTGGTAATATGAAAGATGATGATGAAGATGAAGACGGTGATTCTCCAAACCTTCCTGATGCTGGTAAGGACCTTGGTGACGATGACGATGAAGACGATGATGATGACGACTTTACCATACAATACTAGAGACCTGTCGATGCCACGAAAGGCATTTCTCTTAAGGATTCTGCATCCCAGGGGGAGAAAGGGGAGAAAGAGAAAGAGATCTCAGAAAAGAACCAGAGCACCAAGTCGAAAGACAAGGGTGTTGCTGAAGAAAGAAATCTCAAGGTACTTTTCCAACCTTTTGATCCCTTAAGTACTAAGTCCTCCAGTTTTACCACCATTACCTCTCTTTGTTAACTCTTCATCCCCTCTACTACCTACGATCAGCTAAAGGAATGGTACCTAAAAACCCAACCTCTAGCGTTCACACTGACCAACAGATATCTCAGCTAAAGGAGTCACTCGACCAAACTAGAGTAAAGACCCCTCTTCGTACCTTTAATTTGTGGCGAATTTGACTTCCTGTCTGAAGCTAAAGGACTCGAGGCACTCAAGGCCGAGGATGAACTCAGACTTCAAAGACAACATACTGAGGACAGCTTAAAGCTAGCCAATTCTCTTGTTGCTAAAGTTCTTCCAAAGAAGAAGTCTAAAAAGCTGGTGAATGTTGTCAAGGCCTAGGCTAAGCTACTTTCTATTGCAAAAGCTGAGCACGAGAAAGCGATGAAGATGGCCGACCGAGATAGAAAATGGAGCGAAAAACATCTACACAAGAGAATCAGTCCTCACCCTATTTCAAATGTCATCATCAGCGGACGGAGGAAAGACGGTGGAGTTTTGGTCTCAATGCTCATCACCAAAGACAATCTTGATGTTGTCATGGAGTACCCTTCCTACCTTGGTCAATATGGCTACAGTGAATGGCTGGAGATCCGCCAAGCCATTCAGCGCTCAAAGTCAAGGCACAAGCCAATTATTGAAGACATCATCAGTGAGCTGATCAAGAAGATGTCAAGATATGTCGTTGTACCTGACAAGTCATCAGTGGAGAAAGGTGGAAGAAGAAGATCTTCAAGTCCTGATGATGAACCAACCCTGAGGAATAAACATGAAACAAAGTTCTCTTTAGACGAAGTCCTGAAGGCTTCGAAGAATCCAAGCATCTCTATGTTGAACCTATCCTTGCTAAAGAAAGGTCCTTACATACCCAACACTACGCACCTCAATCCTGAGTTAGGATTTATTTTCCTTGACTATGAAGGCGAAACCATCTTTCAATGAGTGTATGAGTTACATCTTTGTCCAATGGAACATCTCGCATATATCAGATTTTGGCAGGATGATGATATATATGGTGAAATGGTGGACCGCAAGATCAGAAGGGAATTTCTACGTCGAAAGGAGCTCAAAGAAGAAGTACCTGACTACATCAACCTGAGCAACTTAGATTAGTTATAGAATTTTGTCTTGTAACTTTATCTTTCACTGTACGTCTTTTGTATCTATGTCTACTTTCAATGTACAACTTATATTTTGTAAGTCTATAAATGTACTGATGTGATGACTTAGATTTCAGACAACATCGGTTGAGGTAACTTTATGTGGTTATTTTATGAAATATGTGATGGCATGCATGTTATATAAATAAATGCATGAATTGTGTATATATGTGTGAAAAAATGTGATTATGTGCATACATGAGTAAGTGTTAAGATAAATGTGTGCACATAGGATGAATTGCATATTTGGTTGGGTGAACTGCATGTCCAGTTTATCAGTATTTTATTATGAAGGTAGGCAACCTTTATGGTGAAGTAAGGTGAGTTTTAAAATAATAAAACCCACCGCCCAAAAGAGTTTTATAATAATAAACCACTCACCACCTCTACTAAGACATATATAAAGAGGATAAAAGATAAGACCTTATCTTATCTTACTTTTTGAGAAATTTTAGAGAGAAAAAGTGTGTGAGTGTGACGGTGAAGATTGTTCTTAAGAAGAATATTTGCCTAAAAGCGATTTAAGGAACCTCTGTTCATTTGAAGAACTTATGTGTATTTGAACCTACAAATCTGTGCATATTAAGGTGAGTTTTTGATATTAAAACCTTTAAATGATGTTACTTGAAATATGTGGTTTGATGATTGATTTTGAAGAAAGTATGTTAAAACTGTTTCTAACGGTTGTAGATGAGTTTTATGAACCTGGTGGTGGAAATTGTTTTGGAAAATAAAGAAGGTTTTTCTTCTTTAGAAACAGTTGTGAATAATATCCTATTTTAAGGATTTTAAGGAGATTTTGAGTTTGGAAATGATATTGAAAGAACAGATGGTTTTTGTGTTTCAAAGTTTTGAAGATAAAACTATTTTGAAACCATTATTGGTTAAAAACTATAGAGGGTATTCCTTCAAGACGGTTGTGACTTCGGTCTGTCTTCGTTTGGAATTAACCTATAGATTTTGGTGGATAAAACTATGGAGGTTGTTTCATCAAGACGGTTGTGACTTCGGTCTGTCTTCGTTTGGAACTAATCCATAGATTTTGATGAGGAAATAAGGGTGGCATATCAAGGAGAGGTGTACCATGGGATAAGGGTGGCATATCAAGGAGAGGTGTACCTTTGGTTATAAGGATGACATATCAAGAAGAGGTGTATCTTTGGATATAAGGGTGGCATTTGTATGTGTGATTATTATAGCTCTTGCTATTATGTCTCTTAAGATTGCAATAGTTTTTGAGTTCTTACTTCTTTGTAATTTGAGGACTCAAGGATGTTGCTCTTATTAGAAATGATAGTATTGATGTTATTGAGAAGGGGAAAACTTGGCTTATGGCCAATGGTTTTGAATAAATTATGCTTTTGGAACAAAGTGTTTGATTTATGAAGAATCAGAGAGGCTCTGGTTATTCCTTGAAAGGAACACGAGGGACTCTGGTTGGTCCTCACAATAGAACCAGAGGGTTCTTGATGATGATTTGATATTGATACAAGTCTTTTTACTAAAGTTTTATTTAAACCAAAGACTTTGTATCTATTAGATAGGAGCTCCGTGTCAAAGTTATGTTTTAAAAGATGTTCGAAAGATTTTATACTTATTTTAACTTAGAAACTTTTCTTACAAAGAAGGACAAACCAGAGGGGCTCTGGTTGGTCTACGCGTTGAACCAGAAGGCCTCTGGTTGGTCATGATTTTTAAGCCAGAAGCTCTGGTTAGTAGAACCAGAAGCTCTGGTTGTACTTAAGCCTTTTATATTACATTTTCATACTTGAGAAACTATTTTATTCATCACTTGATATTTGACTACGTACATTTATGAAGAATACCTTGAGTAGAGCTCTGGTTGGTATAACCAGAAGCTCTGATAGAGAAACCAGAGGAGCTCTGGTTCTGCTATCCAATGGAAGTTTTTTCTAAGTCTGGTCGTAGGAACCAGAGGACAGATGGGTTAAACAGATTTTGGATTTATGTTCCATTATGTGAAATGATTGATTTAAATAATGTTTTGGTGATTTTTCATTCTACAATTACATAGAAAAAAGGATCTCAGTACACCTTCAGGTCTAACCTTTATTTTGTGTTTCAAATATGTATTGCATGAGCTGCAGAGTATCATGATAGTAAAGGAAATGGGAAAATATGAATTGTTTCCCTATATGCTTAGCTATGTGAAGATAAATCTGTGGATGTGCTTTGAAGTTAAATGTTATGCAGTACAAAAACACGTATTTTGGAATTTTTGAGTTGTGTATTTTGTAATATAGTTCTTGTACTTTGGACCATTGTGGGATTAAATATGTATTTCTCTGAATGAATTATATGTTATATGCAATATGAGTTTTGGGTTACAACTGAAACACTTGTAATTTTTTCCTTTGAATAAATATAAGTATTTCATCTGCATCACTGAAAAAGATCCCTGAAAAGAGTAATAGGAAGACATGTCTATGAGTTCCAGTATTCTCTTACAGTCACTGACAATCTATAAGTCATTGAACATACTTTCAGTTTTAGTTTTCTTTGTATTTTTTCTTAAAATTGTAACTTAAAAAAAACTTATTAAGTAAAAACTGATTCACTGAAAAAGATCCCAAAATAGTAAAAAGGGATCTGTACTTTGTATGTAACTTTTCCTTACTATTATTTGATAAGGCAACTTTCTTTATGTTGCTTTGTTATCATCAAATAGGGGGATATTGTTGATCCTCTCTCATTGATTTGATGATAATCACTTTAACCTATTACGAAGTATTATGTTTATGTTCTTTCTGTTCCAACGATCATCAATGAGTCTGTTCAGTGATCGCTGAAACATGTATTGTAAATCCTACAGCAACAACAATTCTTCAAGAAGACAAAACTCATACCAAAGAACCTTCAGTGAAAGTCGAAGACTGAAACTGAAGATTAGTGACTGGCACGTTCGTGATCTGAAGCGGCATTCAGTGATTACAACATGGTCAACATAAGTGTGAAGACTGCCCAAGGCTCAGCGAATGCTGAAGAGACCTTCAGTGTTATTCCAGCATTCAACGATCAAATAAAGCTTGTTGTACAAGATTGTTTTTGTCTTGTCCATCTACACACAAATAACAAACTCATACCCTTTCTAGAGTATAGTATGGTACTGAGCCGACTAGTTGACTCTATTAGCCATCAGCTCCACGAAGTCATGAATAGACAACTGTATTATTCACTGTAGCAAAGGACAAGCTTTCCTCCAAAAGCTTAACGCGTGTTCAAACCCTTCTGAATTGCATTTAATGCAATGAGTATAAATAGATGAGTGTTCTCTCCATGCAGATACACACATACACACACATCTAAAAGAACACTTACGCTTATCTTCAAGCAAGTTAGAATCCCTCTCAAGTATTCTAAAAGTTCTTACCCAAGAAAAACAATTTTTCTTTTTTTATCTTTCAGCAAATCTTTTCTATTTTGCTAAGATTATCTGTATGTAAACTTAGATTGTTTTAGATAGGTTATTTTTACCTTGTCTATTTCCGCATACAATCTGCAAAAATCTGTATTAATCTTTCTTTTTCAATATATATATATATATATATATATATATATTTTTTTTTAAATTTGAAAGTTTTCTATGTTTGTATTCATCCCCCCTTTCTACAAACTGTTTCTCTAAAACCCTTGTAGACCCAACCAGGACCAACACTAAGAAGTATCATTCTGAGTCCGAATTAACATTCGAGGTTCAACTAATGTCATTTCGTTAGATATCTCATAGAGCAAAGAACTTTGAAATAGAGAGAGTGGGTGGTTTTGTTTGAAAAGATAAAGTTTTTTTTAACTTAGTTCCATGATAGTAGAATTCTATCAATTGAGTATCCGCCCCATTTTACCCTGCCCCCTAATTAAATGAGGCCGCCTAACATGGCTTGCCAATCAGATAAGCCAGCTCAACTAGAAAGTTGCAGTCCTAATCCATTTGTTGTAATCATTGGGCCGTTTTGCAACACTAAAAACAACATTAGTGATAAAAATATCTATCCTAAAAAAGAAATGGGCTAAAAATTATTTACACATAATTATTTGGGCCTTATCAAGAGCTCAAGCCCGCTTTTTTGGGTTTAATTGCTAGGGAGGGGTTTGCTTTGTTATTATAGTGTTTTCTTTTTTTCCTTTCTTGTTTAGTTTGCTTCTTGCAGATGTCTTGGTGTTTTCGATTTATGGTGTTGTTGAAGACTTCTTGTTCTTCTCTTTTTCTTGGTAAATAAATTATTGTTGTGTTTAAAAAAAGAGAAAGATTAGAGTTGAGAGATCTTATAGTTATCTATTTGCAACAAATCCCTTATTTAAATAGTTTATGGTTAATGAAAATAGCAAATTTTTGATCTAGTTTGTTTCGTATATTCTATAACAACTAGAAGCTTACTTGCGCGATAAATCTCAATTTTTATGTTCCGTTTTATTATTTGCGTTTGTTGATTTTATGATATGATTTTGTATGATTTGAGAAAGCGACAATATCTTTATATTTGAATTGAAGACCCCATAAAAATTTAAAAGAGGACACCAATATTAGTATTAAATCAAAATTTTAAAAATTCTCTTTTTAATATAATTTGTTATATAATTTCATTTTTGTTTGACAAAAATGTAATTTATTTTAGGTTTAATAAAGTAATTTTTTTATAAAGATAAAAAATAAATATCGGATTAGTTTTCAATGATTATCGTAATTATATTTTAGATTATCTATATAAATGAAATGTTTTTTTTGTATTAATTTATATTTATTACCGTTAGTTAAACGAATTCAAAAATACAGTTTCAAAAAGTTGTACTCATATAATATTTATTTGTAATTCCTAATTTTAAATAATACACATCAATAAAATATATAAAAAATAATTATTAAAAATTTGTTTCAAAATTTTTATAATATAATATAGATAAATAGATAATATCTTTTAAAAAAATGAAATATCTTGTTATTTTCACGAGGTATTAATACATGAAAAAAGAAAACACAAATGTCACCGTTTAACAGGCTCAAGGCACGTAGCAATTTGCGTAACGAAGAGTTTTGAGTGGCATTTCTGCAACCTTCTCCCCTTGTATCCTTTTCTGTGAAAAACCTAAACCCTAAATTCATATATTAAATATTAACAATTGATTGCTTCATGTGTACGATTCCAATTAGAGCTGTCACCCTTTCCATCAATTTTTTTGCATCATAGATCTGTAGGTTGTGCTCGATTCTCGCTCCAAAAAAGGTCACTGGTACAGGTATCTTATCCCTCTCTCTCTCTCTCTCTCTCTCTCTGCTTTCATCCATTGACCGCAGTTGCTAAATCAGTTGGTTTTCTAGGGACTTCATCCATGGATTCTTCTTCGGGATCGGAATTTGATTATTTGTTCAAGTTGTTGATGATTGGGGATTCAGGAGTTGGTAAAAGTAGTCTACTTTTGAGTTTCACTTCTGACACCTTTGAAGAACTTTCTCCTACCATTGGTTAGTCCGCCCTGCTTACTTATTCGTTGATACTTTGAAAATAGTGTAGTTATTCTACAGTTTCTTTCTCATGTTACTTGCAGTGTTCATTTGATGGAATTTAAGCGGCTTGTCTCTGTGTTTAACATAATATGAAAATGCCGAGTATTGTTCTCGTTTCTTAAAGTTAAAAGTTAGATTGCTCATAGTATTTCATTGTTTAGTTTTCTACTGAGGATTGTTACAATCGAGTTATTACAATCCACTTAGGTAATGCTTTCCCATGAATTTCTATTCTAGCGTAAGGTGGTATCCAAAAACCGTATGTGGTTGCTTGATCTTGAATGTTGTGTTGAGTGACAAATAACCTTACATGTAAAAGGCAGGCTAATATTACCTAATTGGTGGTATGCCTCAATTTGCAAAATGCTATGTATACGCAATACCCTGGTTTGCTATTTTTTAGTCTAAAAGGGGGTTATGCTGTATGCCATTCAAGTTTGTGGTTTGACTATGCATATATATTCATAATACATATATGAGATGCAAGTTACATACATAACTGGGATCTCTGCATGTAAGCAGATATGGTGTGTCAAAGACATGAGGAAGCTTAGCACGCCGTAAAATATAAGTGAAAATCATGCAAGGCTGTTAGGCAAGTATTGAATTTCCCATAAGCTATACACACATAAAAGTATACATGGATTAGCTACTCCATATAACATTGTATTATGGACAGGAAACACATATTTGTGCATGCTATGCATATACAAAATTATGTCATATATATAGGTGGCCATACAATTTCATATGCTTTGTGGGACTCCATAAAAGAGTACTTAGGTGATAACCTGCAGTAGTGCACATTCAAAATAGAAATAGATATTCAGGAGTGTTGAAGGACTCGATAGATTTCACAGATTGTAACAAATAAGTGACGTTGGTGGAGAAGTGTGAGTTTCTTTTTAAGTTTGCATCATAAGATGTTACAAAAAAATCTATATTCAGTAAACAGAAAAAATATTCAAGGACCTGTTGGATTTTTTAATTGGTTTACGTACAAACCTTAAAACCTATATGGTTTGCACAAGCCAATTGCAGTTTGCAAGTATTCTGGTTTTAAGCTTGATGGAGATGTGCAAGTTGGTTCATGAAGAGCAAATCAATATTCACGTCTTGGAGGGGCTTGCTAGATTTCGTGAATGATTCATAAATCACCTAGTCTAACTAGTTTACACCCAAGTGGAGTATGAGATGATTTTTAAATTGATTTCAGATCATTGGACCTTATTCTTTAATTTTCCTTCAGTTTGTCCAGAGGATGAAAATCAAAGAATAGGACTCTGATAATTTGAGAGCAAAAACAATGCTTCGAAAGCGTTCCATGACTTTCTATATTTTATTTGCATATAGCATGTATTTGTGGAATCCGATTGTTCTACCAAAAACCACTACAAGTTACAAAATGAATGTGAGTTAAACAAAAATAGAGATGCTAATCAAAACTCACACGTCTTCTGTAAATATCATCAGTATTTTGTTGTTACCTTTGCTTGACAGTTTAAAAACTGGCAGTTCTGTGTTCAGGAAATTTCTCATTGTACAATGGCTACCAGTCTTCTGCCTTCGACTAATCAAAGCTGATAAGCCTACTATGTTGTACATCCTCATATTGTGTTCAATGACTATCTTACAAAGAAGTCCTTATAAGCTATATCCCGATGACTCTGTACTAAGGTCCTTGTTCATGTTGGCCTTGCTGCTACTGTGAACAGGATGCCATACATAAATCATTTATTACTTAGATGGTGAAACCAAATTCTATTGTCCTTTTTCTCGTTCAGGTTTGATTGAAAAAAGAAAGAAAGATAATGAATAAGAAATCAATAATGGACATGTGTTACAGACATGAGCAGTGTCTCTTTTTTCTGTTGGATTTTCTTTCTTGTCGTGATAATTTGTTGTTGCCTACACTTTTGCATTGCATCGGTTCACCCAGTATCTTTTAGGCACAAAAGAGCTGTTTTGGAGTATAAGATGCCTTTTTTAGGACTAATTAATCAGCCCTTTACTGGAGTTAGGCTATGAGCAGAATGTTATTTTACTCATCATTATTTCCCTGTTTTGCAGGAGTGGATTTTAAGGTAAAACAAGTTACGATTGGGGGGAAGAAGTTAAAGCTTGCTATTTGGGACACTGGTAATGTTTTTTGGTGTGTTGTGATCTATGATACCACACCATTCTCTTATTGAAGTTTGTTATGGTGTAAATGCTATGAATTGCTTGTATCTGGTTTTATGCTTCGTTTGTCTTTGTTTTGTTTCTTCTTTTTTGCCTTTCATATTAATATTAGGAACCGAACCGGGTTTATGATAGCCTAAGTCATTGGAACTTGTGTGCGTATGCAAGTATGTACGTGCCATAGTTTTGGTTGGTAAGAGTATTTGGATGTTTGTTGTATGCGATTCTGTATGTAAGAGGTTATGTTGCTTATTGGTCACTTGGACAATGAAATATATTGATAAGGAGGTACAAGTTTGGAGATTTACAAATATGATCGTCTATTTCCTGTTCCATATGTTTTATATGATGTTTGTGAAATTCCTTTAAAGCGGAGGGAGAAAGGGAGAAGTAAAGGAGAATGCAATTAATACATTATCTTTTACTAGTGTGTCTTGATATAAATTGAAAAGATAATATATCTTATCAAATATTCTGCTTATTTTATTAAAATTGATTCATTTTCTTGTACACCTAGCCCTAGCTTAGATTCACATTAAAAGATTGACCTGTATAACATAGACAGGTAGCAATGAAGACTGAATTTGTGATGCCATCCACTGTAGTCTTGATGTTCTATTCGCTTCTGATGGGAGGGTACCTATTTTCCATGGAACAATTCCTCTTCATCCCCTGTTTTAACAGTGACATGCCTCATAATCAACTAGGATACAATTCGTCTTCCCTTTACTTCCTATAATTGGACCATTAGTAACTTTATTTTTTATGGACATAAGAACCAAGACATAAAAGAACTATATGAGTCCAATAATCAACATGCAGTGCCCAAAGTGGAAGATTTCAATATAAAGGAGCTATTAAGCAATTGTAGCGAAAGTTATGCCACGTGGGGTTTGATATGCAATTTAACTATAGTTAGGAGTAGGAACTTATCTTGTAATTACTTATAGTGGCCAATCAGTTCCGACTCCTTTTGCTCTCATGTGTATAGATGTGTACCCTGCTATCAAGTTTGAGAATTCATTCTTCCCTCCCGCCGCCATCTCTCATTAATAGTTGAATCCCGTTGATGAAGAAATCTTAGTTCTACCCTGCTTTTCGATTTTCCTAAAACTGTTGCCAAAACGAATGACGCACTATAATCATATTTCATCATCAACCAATCATTTCATTCACTCTTTTAATCTGATCATTGACCCCATTACATATAGGCAAGCATTGGAAGACCAGTGTAAGATAAACCCACAATAAGTAACTTTGTCTTGTAGAGAATAATCACGCTTAGAATCCCACTTGTTTATATCCCAGGAAGGTCACATTTGAATGAAAATGGGTTTATAAAGTCCTGTAGAAAGAAAATTGTGGCGTTGAAAGGTGTAAGGTTTCGTCAAGAAGGAAAAGACTACCAAGAAAAACCTGCGCTCGCATAGCCAAAATGGTTAGCAACGATTATTTCTAAGGGATGGCTCATTGAACAACTTGATGTTAACAATGCATGTCTTCATGGCTATGCTGTTAATTGCGGCGATATCTTGGATTGTGGGCCTTTGCAAAATATCGGTGGTCAAATTGCGGTTAAAATTGTGGTAGCGCAATTAGCAGCACAATTTACCGCAATTGACCGATATTTAGTGTAAATTTCGTTCGATATTAACGCAATTTTCGGTGGGTTTGGGCTTTATTTTCAATCTTGGGCTTTCGATATTGACTAGCTTATGTTAAGTTAGTCAAGGTTTTTTTGGGCTTTTAAGAACTAGGCTTCTGTTAGGGAGCGCTATAGGGATGGTGATGATCACGTTGGAGATGAAGGAGGAGAAGGGGAAGAGTGGGAAGCTAGACTAAACGAAGTGTAAACATGTTAGATGATGTTGACTCCGATGCTGAACCTATTGCTTGTGATTAGCTCATTTATGAACACTTTTTCTATTTTGCAAATGATATGTTTATGTAGGCATATTATTTATATAATTCTAAGAAATATTATATGAACCGCTATTTTTGGACCGCTATACCATCGCTATTGCACCACTATAACTGCTATTTCAAATACCTGTCCCGACCACAATTTTGTTTTTTCGCCGCTATAACAGCATAGCTTCATGGTGATCTTGAAGAGGATGTGTAAATATTGTTGCCTAGGTTAACCCATCAGTTGCCACAAACATGGGAAATTCAATGATGGACTTAAGCTTGCCAATCAGCATGGTTTGCTAAGTTGATCTATAACCTTACTTGCCAAAGGTTATACAGAGAGCTATGCAGATCTTTTTCTTTGTTTATGAAAAGGGTGTTAGTCATTTTACTGCAGCTTTTGTATAGGTGGATGGTATCATTTCTTTTTCTGGTAAAGCATAAATTAACGATTTGAATATGATCTTCAATATTACGTGGGAATTGAGTTTTATAGGTCCCTTGATGGCATGGTTCTTAATCAATGAAGATATACTATTCAACTCCTTATAGAAACTGGTGCTTAAAACAAAAAATCTACCACACCTTTAGATATCAATGTCAAATAGAGTAGCATAGAAGGACAACAACTGGAAGATCCTACATTTTAGTGAATGATGGTAGGAAAAATTGCTATATCTGACCATTACAAGGCCTACCACCCTTTTGCTTGCTAGGTTCTTGGTCGTTATATGTGACATCCTCACACTCTACATTTAAAGGCCTTGTCTCGAGTCATGTGCTACCTCAATTTGGCCCTGGATAGGGTATTTTTCATCCATGCAACAATTCTTTTCTCCTCCACATTTTCTGATGGTGATTCGGTAACTTGTTCAGACACCAGGATGTCTGTGGGGGTAGTGTAGTGTTGTTGGGCAATGCTCTGTTTCACGACTATCAAACAAACATGTTTTTTTCTCTTCCATTTGCAACCAAGAATTGAGCCATTGTTGATAATAGTTGTGTAAGTATCATGGCGCTCTTGTGTTCACTCATTACTGTAACACTTACAGATGGATGTCCCAAACATATCCAGATCTGGTGCGAGAGTGCTTCAGCTAATGCTCTTTTTTCGAATCCATTCATCATCACGTACAAAACATATGCTTGATTTTCGTTTTGTTTTAGACAAATTACAGCAAGGTCTTGTTGTCCCTTTCTTTGTGCCTTCCAAAAGAGCAAACCATAGATATTTTAACCAAGTTGAGAGTGTGTAATATTTACTATAAAGGATTCTAGTTCGGAGTGGAATATTTCAGTACAAAGGAGTTAAACAATTGTATAGAAGTTACGTCATATGCTTGTGGTTTGATATGCAATTGTATCTATGGTTTCAGGACTTACGTAATTTCATATAGTAATTTACCAGTTCTAAGTGTCTTTCCGTCCCATATAAAGAAACTCCTCGGTTCCAAAAAGGATGATACATTCCGTTGACGCATGGGAGGTAGTTTCTTCATAAAGCCTCATACACAGCTTTTTCAGCAGTTCCTTTTTCAGTGTTTCAATGCTTGTCTTTGACTGTTGGTAATAATATATCATTCTTTGATAGAGCAAGACATCAGTAAAAGGTAGACTCGGATACGATACAAATGGAGTGTTATAGCCAAGTCCGAAAGAATGAATCTCTGTTTTATGCACACTCTTTGCCTTACACACACACACACTCTCTCCATTTCATCACATGACATGGAAGAGTAAAAGCGTGTATAGGAATCTGTTTTGGATTTTGAAGAGCATGCAGAAGTTGAGTGAGAGAGCTGCTCCCTTGAGGAACATAACCAGCATCTTGTCTCCTTTCTCCTACTTTTTCAAGCTGATTATACTTCTGTCATACCTATTAAAACAATAATGTCTAGTCACTAGTTATATCCGTAAAGTGAGCTTTATTATACTTCAGAAAGTGCCAAGGAAACCACAATTTTTATTGCCTTCTCAATTGAGTATGTCAAGTAAAGAAATTAATGGATTGGTTTGGGACTAAGCTCTATTGTGCTTAAAGACTCTTTTCTTTAGCAAGACCAACAGTCCCCCAAAAAAGCCTACATTAGCAGTGCGGGTGAAATCAGACAGTTGCTTTGCCGGATCGGTCACTCCAGATCTTTGCCTCCACACCCCACAATGGATTTACAAATTGTACTTTTCCTGTTAGCTCATAAAGATCGGACACCCATATGCCAGGACCATACTAGCCTGTTACATGAAATGCACCAAAACCAAAGCAATTCTTTAGTTATATATAAGCCACAAATTTGCCGTTGGTTCCCATGATATTGCACATATTTAGTTGTGTACTTTTTGCTAATTCAAATAAGTTATTTATGCTCTTGAAATTCTAATTCTTTAGAATCTAGGTTGATCATAGTCAATTATCCAAGTCATGCTAAGAGATTGTATGTGGCTTGAAAATTCTAGTTGCTATTTCACATTTAACTTGATTTACTATGAGAACTACTTTATTCTAGCTTTAAAGTGCATCCTATGGTCTACCTTTAGCCTAATTCTGATCATTTCTGGTCCTCGAATCGTCAGAGATTTTATTTTGTAGTGCAAAACATTCAAGTCTAGAACGTACATGTTGTGTTCGAGTGAATCTTTTAGTCTTCCTGTAGCTGCAGAAGCAGAGATGCAACACATCTAGCACTATGTACCCTGCATTTTTGGCTCGATTGGTATCCTTGTATCTACATTTTCCATGTTTAGCTGAAGCAGTATCACCCTGTTCATGTAGGAGAGATTGGATTTCAATACAGCAACCTACTTTTGAGAGAGGTTTTTTTAATCTGTTGGCAAGTCCAAAATTATGTAACTTGTTAATTTGCAGCTGGGCAGGAAAGATTCAGAACTCTAACCAGTTCATACTATAGAGGAGCCCAAGGAATTATAATGGGTATGTTTCATGTTTTTTACTCCTTCCTTTCTTGATTTATTTTTAGTGGCTGCCCTTCCATGTTATATGATGACATTCTGATGTGTTTAATTAAGTATTCATCTGTTTTTAGTTTCTTCTATTCATGTTAGGACCTACACAATCATAATCTCATACAATTTCTTTATTCAGCTCCTGTCATAGTACACGATCTATAGGGGACCTTAATTTAGCTAGCTTGCCTTCCAAGTCTTCACAGTACATGTAATGTTTTCTTTAATCTGGAGTAGGAAATGCGAGATGGTGAAACCTCTTGGACTAGCTCTTATGTCCTATCATGTTTCATATGCAAGATAAATGTTGGTAAAGACCTAACTGTTTCCAACCAAATAAGGCTACTTCTAATAGACGCATCTATTTTGCTGAAATTTGGGAACACGTTATTTTCTTTTAGAGATATGGTGTGGAACTTATCCTCATTATCACTCTTCTTACTTCCATTTACCCTTTTATCTCCATCTGCTCTTTAGCATCGTGGTGTAATATTGCATTGATTAGAATACACAAGTGCACTACTAGTTTATTGGTACATAATTATCATATTAAGTTGGTAGGTATAGCTTGAACAAGGTGTATCGGGTTCTAAACGGTTTGACCTAGTGGTCTGATCCATTAAGCAATGAATTCAATCTTATCCCAGATCCATGTGATCCCTCTACTAAAAGGATCATGATCCAAACCACAAGCATTTATCATTCTTTGTTTTTTAATTTCTTCAATATATATATAGATATAGATATATGCATATATATATCCATACTATATATATATATATATATATATATATATATATAGATAAGCAGCTAAAACGGTTAAGTGTTGAAATTTAAGAGGTACGGATTCTTTTGCATGAAGTACAAGTTTTGAAGCTAAACATTTCCCATGAAACTTTCACGTTTCAAAGATAATATTAAAATCAAATTATTTTTAATTTTTAAGTTACACTTTACACCTTTATAGTTAGTTATTTAATTTATTTTATATCCCTTTCTTTTTCATTTTATACCATTATCATATTATCATACATAATCATATATTAACCAAAATGTATTAAAAAAAATACGTTTCACTTCTTACAAGTTATACCATTATAATCGTCTCATCAATGCCTTCAGAATGAGCCAAATATTGAATATTTTTTGATTTAATCTTATATTATTAAATAACATAAATACGTAGTGAATTATTTTTAAAACTTTCATTTTATACCTTATAAGTTATCGTGTTTAATTTGTTTTGTATTTCTTATTTTTTCATTTCTATTTTACACTCTTAGTTTACAAAGTTAAAGTTGTAGAATACATAACTTCAAATCTTTACATCCCAAGATAATATTAAAGATCAAATATTTTTTTATTTTTAAATTACAATTTATGCTCTTATAAGTAGTTATATAATTTGTTTCTTACCACTTACTTTTCCATTTTTTTTCATTTTACATTTTTATCATATTAAAATAAATTGTCGTATATGAACGAAATACATTTTTTATATAAATTATATAATTATAATTGTCTCATCAACACCTTTATATTGAATATTTTAAATTTTATTATATTATTAAATATCATAAATATGTAGTGAGTTATTTTTAAAACTTATATTTAATTTGTTTTATATTTCTTAATTTACACCCTTATCTATCTATACTATGTATATTATATTATAAAACATGCTAAACGGTTATTATTGAATTTTTAAGAGTTATAAATTTTGATCTATTATACACAATTTTTGAACAATTACAACCTCCACGTTCTTTCATATTATAAATAAAAAAATTATTATTATTAAACTATAATTTATACCTTTATAATTAGTTTTAAATTTATTTTATCTCTTCTTTTCCTATTTTTCATTTTACACCTTCTCATATTAACATATGTAACTATATATTAACTAAAATATATTTATAAACGTTTATTTTTTTATATAAATTATACTGTTATAATCATCTCTTCAATACCTTCAAAATGAACTAAATATCGGATATTATTGAATTTAATAATATTATTAAATATGATAAATACATACTGAAGCTTTTTAGTATCTTAACTTTTTATTTTTTTATTTTCCATATTACACCCTTATCTATCTATACTATATTATTTATTATTGTTGTTGAATTTTAACTATCATCTATGCAATTATTTACAAGTTTCTAAAGCCCCCAACCCATTATCCCCTTTCTTTCTTTTCTTTCTGACATTATAAATCGCACTATTTACACTTCATATTCACTCATCAACTATTTTATGTTTTCAAGACGGTGTATGTTAAAGAGACTAATCTAGCATTTTGTAGATGCAATAAATTGCTTAAACTCACAGAGTAATTTCAATATTCATTACATCATATCCTTTTACATAGTTCTATTCTGATAAGTTCGTCTTATAGTTTTTTCTTGTTTGAAAAGATATTTTTAATATTTACAAATACCGTTGATCTTTCAAAGATGGGATGAAAACTGAAGTTGCCAAAACAAAGTCCTCAAATTCTTTTGAGATTTAAAGATGAACTATTTGATGGGTGATTTTTATAGGCTTCAACCTTCGTATTTCTCATTTAGTTATTCAAATATCATTTTACTTGCAAACAATGCCATAATTTAAAGCGTAGAACATTTTATAAAAAATTAATCAATTTTTTATTTACAAGAAAGTTTTATATGTAGTTGCATTACAGCGGGTATAAAACTAATATATATATATATATATATGTATATGTATATTATGTATATGTTGGGTTCTGTTTCATCTTAACAATTGATCCTGACCAAAATACTCTTGTTCGTTGCTGTACAAGTTAATTTGATTGTTTATCGTGACAAATAAACAGTGTATGATGTAACCCGAAGAGAAACATTCACAAACTTATCTGATATATGGTCAAAGGAAATTGACCTGTACTCGACAAATCAAGACTGCATCAAGATGCTTGTTGGCAATAAAGTTGATAAGGTATAAATTGATGATCACTTCCATATCAATTCATAAATAAGTGCTTATATTCATGATTAGATTCGTTGCTACATATCTTGTTTTGCAGGAAAATGATAGGGTTGTCACGAAAAAAGAAGGGATTGACTTCGCCAGGGAATATGGATGTCTATTTATCGAGTGTAGTGCAAAAACACGGGTAAATGTTGAGCAGTGTTTTGAGGAACTTGTTCTCAAGGTATTTGAATTATATAAAAGCTTCATTTTCTTCTACTTGTTACCATTAAAACTTGAAATCCATTGTCCACAAACCCAAAGTATTTTTTCACACATATATATATATATATATAGAGAGAGAGAGAGAGAGAGAGAGTGTGTGTGTGTGTAAATGAAATATAAGCCGAAAGTGTACGATGGTTGAAAAATGGGGTGATGAAAATGTGCAGATTTTGGATACACCCAGTCTCACTGCGGAGGGGTCAACTACCGTGAAAAGGAACATATTTAAACAAAAGCCTCCAACAGGTTCAGACGAAGCAACAAGTGGATGCTGCTGAGCTGAAGATGATATGAGTTGTAACTCGTTGTTTTCAGTTCCAAAACAGGCATTGTCTTAGTTAATCATGAATGTAAATTTGGTTATTTGGGGATATGTTTGGTTTTTCTTCATCTTCTTTTTTTCTTTGAATTGAATCATCACGATATATGCTGACTTTGGTTGCTATAAACTGATTTGAGTGGATTCAATTTCTTCTTTTTTTAAATAAATAAATAATTTTTATAGGTTTTTATTTGGATATAATAATAGAAACGCTTATTCGATTAAAAATAGAACTGAAAAATTAATAATAGAAACGCTTATTCGATTAAAAATAGAACTGAAAAAATAATAATAGTGTTAAATTTCATTGGTAACTATTTACCGGATAAGTATTTAGTAAATGGTTTTATAGGTATTTTTTTTCTCTTTTATGAACAAGTTTACGGGTAAAACAACCATTGTTTTACTTTGATCGACTTACCAATTAGTTGGTTAGGAAGATTTCGGAATTTTTTTTTGATGTGTGTGATTTGTAGAATCCATAATAGAATTAAGTTCTATTTTTTATAAATAATTTATATAAACAAACTTTTAAAGATTATAAAAATTATTATAACCTCATTTTAAAAATCCTTTAAAATCCTATGAAATACCAACTTATCCTTTGGGATTTTTGCTTGTAGGATTTCAAATCCAAACATTCTTTCAAACCAAACATAGGATTGTTATGGACTTCAATTCCACATCCCTCCGAACACTATCATATCCCACAAACCAAACAAAGCTCAGACATGCTATGGTGCCTTAGGTTGGATAGAAGCGGGTTGAATCCGCATCGCCACGGAGGAAGCATGACATCATTCTATTAGGTGGTGTAATGCAAAATGCTCAAGATATATATTGAAAGCAAAATAACCAATGAAAACAAAAAACACATTTCTTAGTTACCGGGCTGAGTGCACTTTTGATACTGCATCTTTTGTCTAAAGTAGAATGTGGTGAAAGATAAAAAGATATTTAGGTATCATCATGTTGATCCTCTCTCATTGATTTGATGATAATCCCCTTTTCCTATCGAAGTATTGTATTTCTGTTTATTCAGTTTCAGTGATCATCACTAAGGGGCTGTTTACCAAATTTTCTATTAAGTCCTGTATGGATAAATTTGTCTGTCTGGATAAATTTGGCTGTCTGGATAAATTTAGGTTGTTGTTTACTTTTCTATCTGAATCAACAGTCTGAATAACAGAAATGACCAATTTACCCCTGAGTATTAACTATGGTTTAACATCAAACATAGGTCGGGATATAGCATCAAACAATAGTCAAGGCAAGCTGCTGTTATACAAGCTGCTGGTTTAAC